TTGTTTTTGCTTATAATACAATTTTGTAAAGAATCAAATCGTTATCCATATTTGCCACTCGGCAAGTTGATAATAATGTTTAATGATGACAACAGAACAACAGATGAAACAAAAGTAAATACTGTATAGGTTTTTAAATATTGGAAAACAGTAATTTTTTATTTTACTATGAAGTTATCAACTTCAGTTAGAATAAATCATAAATCTTTTATGTGCAACTGTCACCAATTAATCATGATCTGCTGATTGTTGATTTGCAGAAGCAGTAGGCCTTTTCAGTACAGGTCTAAGATTACCGACGTCTTGTACATCCTGTTTAGCTTTCTATTGTGTTTAGATTTTTTGACGAATTTTCGACCGTCGGATATCCAGTAAGCACTGGTTTGATGTTTGGAATTGCAAGGGCACTTACTAGTTCAGTTTTTTTTTTTTTATAGATTTTCAGTTAAAGAAATAACATATATGTCCCCTTTTAGTTCCTTTTAATTTCTGTGAACATGTTTCATCCTATATGATATGATCGTAACTACACTGTATAATTTGGGATCTGCCTTTTTTGCCTTTCCTTTGACATGTGACCTTCCGATATCATTTAAATCGATATCTATATTCAGCTTGTTCCTTATGATACCCAGGACTATCTCATCTGTATTCACAGGGTGTAAGATATCTCCATGTTTGTCAATAGGAACTGAAACATCATGGAAACGAAGACAAGTTCTTCCTAAATATTGTTCCTGACTCTCCATTCTGTGTTCAAGGTCAGTTATTTCGTGACTTAGCAAGTTAATGTTTTTGCTTTGTTCTTTGATTGTTTGAGGTTTGATAATTGTATGAATGGTTTCTTGTTCTCTTTTTGTTTTAATAGTGGTTAATTGTTATGCCTCTTGCTCAATTACTGGTGTAAGGGCATCACTGATCTTTTGTGACAATTAAGGTACCATTGTTAAGGAATTCTGTGCTTTTGGGGGCATCTAGTAATTTATCAGCAACTGTTTTTCTAAGGGTTTATCGTCCTGAATATGCATGAAATATTTGCCACTGGACATTAAGCAACCAACAATCAATCAATCTAAGGATTTGTGTTTTTCCTTCGCCTTCTCATCGCAGATCTCAAATGGAATTACTATGGCGTCTGAGGATTTGACTGTTTTTGGGTAACTGGTAAGAAGTCAGGGCTATCAAAATTCCTTCTTTTATTGCCGACAGCTAGTAAGGAAGAGATTAATGAACTTGGCAGTGAGCTGGTCAATATAATGTCGGACTGAGACTCAAATAGAGGCATCAGTTTTGTTTTCACTCATCTTGACCTATGCTTGTTATTCATAATCTATGGGTTACCATATTGACAGTGAGAAGTTGGAAATCTGTATTTACTCATTTTAATGAATTTACAAAATTATTTAAACATATTTTCGATTTTAGTGTATAAAAAAATGTAGGTTTCAAAATGTAAAAATTGACTGTTCGGAAATCTATATTTTAGACTCTCAATTTGATTTTTTTCGGTATCATTGCAATATTGATGGTTGTTGACATATGCATATTTGATTATCTTCCAGATATCTTTAGTAAATGACAATTGATTACGCTGTAAATTTACAATCGGCAATCTTTTTTCAAAAAGACAAATTATGTCATACTTTGAAATGTCAATGATTGGTTGACAATAATTTTTCATGATATTATAACTAAAGTGCTACGCTAGTATGTGGTATTAATTTAATCAATTCATGTTTCATTCACACAATTTATTTTTAAAACTAGTATTTTTTTTTTATCTTACCTCACTTAAAAAGGGACGTTTTCTGATGTAACATGTAAGCCTGGTTGCTATAGAATTTTTTTTTGCTACGCAACCATAGTCGGATAAAAGTTTAAACTTTGCATGCTTATATAGTCTTTGTCCTAGACACCACTGCGATATTTGCCACTGAACGTTAAGCAACCAACAATCATGAGAAAACAAATCACAGCTTTTGAGATGGCACGTCTTTTCCTAAAACAAGTTGCAGAAAACTTTTTGACCAAATTTTGTTACTTTTTATACTATTGTTTATACGGTTTATGACCCCTTATATAGGCCTATGTACTAGCATTACGAAATTGTGGAAGTCCAAATAACAGCAAAACTTAATGATTCTCATTTTGTATTTATAACAATTTATAACACTGTTATCATGTATTGTTTCCTTTCCTAAGTAAAAAAGATGCAATTCAAGCCATGATTTTACACCAAATACAAAGACTTTATCACCAATCGCTCACTTGTTTTTCCATGTGTATTTTGTTCTTTAGAACCCCCCCCCCCCCCCCAAAAAAAAAAAAAACAAGCTCTTACTGAGTGCACCCTAGAAGTTATACTTGAAATGGTCAATATCTGTAATTGTTTTATAGATACATGTTTTAGAAATTCGGTAATCGCACTGCGCAAGTGCTAGTGGGAAAATGTCAGAAAGAGTCAACAAACGTGGAAGGATCGTAGGACTTACAAATTCTTAAAGAAAAACACATTGAAAAGCATGAAACAATAAATATCGGATTTATATAGGAAACGAGTATGACCGATAAATCGGGTTGAAAAAAACACTTCGTTAGCATATACAAACTTCAATCAGTGCTGTTTATATCGTGTTGTTAATCTGTTTTCTAAATTGTATGCACGACTTTTATACTGAAATTAAATTTTCAATTTCAAAGGATATCTACTACCTAGTACAAATAAATATATAAATTTATCTTTATATCAATGGTTGAACAGTTTGGAAGTATTTTACACATCATCACGAAGTTTATGCTTTCAAAATTATATCGCATCTTCTTTTATGTATAATTGTAGATACAATGAAAACCAGTTGCTGCTGCTGGAGCATGTTCTTTCACGAATATCGCCATCAAAGCATGAATGTGCAAAACAGTTAGTTGACTTTATAAATATAAGGCGCTGCTAGACTCCTTTGAGACAGGGATACAAAGACCAAATAACCAACATACTTCATATAAAAAGGGAGATACGGCATGAATGCTATTGTGCTTGATGAGACAAGTACTATATATACCATGGGTCTAACAGTTAACCCCCCTTCGGGTGACTCGGGAATATAATTATGGTAACTTAGGTCTTCTTCCTACCGGCAGAAAAAGTGGACCGTCCGTATGTCTGAGCGGGATGTACAAACAACAACTCTTTGAGGACTCCGTAGTTGGCCTGTATCATTGCAAAATATATGTCCCTATCCAATATACCCTCATTTTTCAGTTGTAGTTTAAAGTCTCCTCGACTCCAATCCCCTCTCCTTCACCTTACATTTTCTTATTTTCTGCGCCTCTACCATTTATATGTCTTCGGCAAACAAGTGTGTGTATTCTACGGCTAATAACGGTAATTCAGTTATAAGAATGATATTTCTGATTATGACGTCAAAGAACAGACCTCTGGTAAGTCAAATTGCATCAATTTCAGATGTTAAAACATACAAAAAAATAGAAAACCATAAATGCCTCTTCAGAAAAACACGGGTGTCACTTATGAGTTACAATGGCACCAGAGCAAATGATTTTATGCCGCTGCTAGTAATGTAGAAAAATAATTATACTCAACAGATCACATTTAAAGTAATACTTTATTAATTTGTATCAACATTTAAAGTAATACTTTATTAATTTGTATCAACATTTAAAGTAATACTTTATTAATTTGTATCAACATTATATTTATCGGTAATCGCCCGACGAATCTCATTTAATACAGATTTGACAACTAGTTCACAATCAACAACGGCTCAAAGGGATTAGAAAAGCATACTTAGGGTGTTTTCTGATCACTCCGATGTAGTTTATTCGCTTGTTAAACATTAATTGTAGCGGATCGGGATAGGTTTCGCTCTACGGATCTTTACTTAGGTGTCCAAAGAGAACTCTAGTCGTATCCCGCTATACTTAATGTTTAACGAGTGAATATGTTAGTAGCGTTCAAACCCATTATTATGTAACATATTGTGATCGGTTACATACCTTATGTGATTGTTTATTTTCATCCATATTAATAAGCTAGTACCGTGTTTTTCATATGCAGTAGGAGTAAGTGGATACGCTTATCAATCAAGACCTCAGTTACCGAAGAGAACAAGAAAAGAAAGAACAAATGCTATTGAAAGAGATGACAAAAGACGGCGATACAAGTATTGGACTTTCCTTAGAAAGCGTTTATAATGACATAATAACGTATTACCGAAGCTTGTATTGGTACAAAGTATTAACGATGGCCAACTATTCCATACTTGGAAAACTTGCATATTTGTAAATAAATTGGTGACAAAAAAGACATAACAGCATGTGGCAGACGATAAAACAGCAACACCTCTCTTATTCTTCTTCCGTCCGGCAGTAAAACCTTTACCAAAGTTGGTCGTCCGTTTGGCTGTGCGTGATGTACAAGTACGCAATTACGTCCGGTCAGAACGGATACGTTAAATCCGAAGCCTCATGTACAGAGAGTGCCACGCTCTTTGCATGTTAAGAATCCTTGCAACAAATCTCTGAAGGGTTCGTACGTGGCCTGTTGCAAGTCTAAATGTATATCCCTATCCAATATACCCTTATTTTTCAGTGTCAGTGGCATATTAAATTTGTCCTACATTCATCCCCTATTCCTATTACAGGACCTACCTGTTGTATGTATTGTTAATTTGTTCTCACCCCGAACATGCATGAAATGTTTGCCACTAGACGTTAAACAACTAACTACCAATCATTCAAATCCACTGTTATATTTTTGATACTTAAATTCTTATATCCAGTATCATTGTGTTTTATACAATCAACTATACATTCCTCATTGCTAATATAACTGTAGAGCAAAATATGTCCTGCTTTGTTGGGCGGACGTATCAACGAAAGTATTCCAGTCTTTCGGAACTTAACCCGGCCGATCGTAAAACTGAAGTAAGAATCTCACTAAAAATTTCGTTTACATTTCATTCCAACAATCTAATTTTAGGTTAATCATTGTTGTTTTTCTTAACGAAGACGCATCCAGGATGATCAAAGGAAAATCGAAAATGTTGATATTTCCTTATTTCTTTTAAACTGACCAGAAAAATGTTTTCCAATCCTCCATTCCCACTCCAGTTCATTATTTTCTCTTTTATCATTAGAACGACTTGATTGGAGTATGTTGATTTATTGTAACAAATCTACATCAAGCCTGCATCAATCAAACATCTGAAATGCTATACTGATATTTTAGTTTGAACGTTTAAGATAAAAAAAAAACCACGGCTTACATATTTTGCCCGTATTCAAAGATAGCATATAGTTATAACTAATTTAAAAAAAAAAACATTAAAAAAAAATATGATAAACCCCTCTTGCTATTGTTTTCATAACTCAATATACAGAGCGTAATAATATTCAGTTGAAAAGGGGAGTATTCGAATCTGCTTTTCATCATTGATTATTTTTCTACAGAATTGATTTAACTAGCTTAAATTATCTTTAAAAAATAAATTTCACATTTACACGTTGCGTGTCCTGGTATCTGCATTATGTAGTTAATTGTCGAATGCAGTTTTGCCATAACTCTCCAACACAAGTATGCAATCACATATTTGTATTTGTTTTGACCTAAACAAAGTAAAATATTAAAAAAGATCAAATGCAAAAATCTTTAAAAATAATAGAGATAAAAAAAAAATAACCACAAACAATTATATACTAAATGATTGAATGTGTTTTCTCCATAAGTATTGAGTTCCTAATTTTAAATCTAAATCTATTATTTTAAACTTGCTTAAATTCCTTTGACAGAAGATTTGTCTCCCGGAGACCATACCTCCACGATTATCTGCATGCAGACCGCATTCTCCCTCACCGTATCCATAATTTGTTAATGAGTGGTGGAGCATTGATATGACTGTATTTGGGCCATGAATCAAACTTCCATCTTTACCTGACAAAAAACAAACCTATTCACGTATATCTTGTTATACAATAAAATATAAGTACCTTAAAATCAACACTGCCGTAAGCAAAGCGTAACAATCAAAACCGAGTTAACTGCATTGTTTCAATGACAGAAAATTAATCAACAAAAACCATTGAAGAACAGGCTCCTGTCTCTGGCATCCAGAATGACGAGGGGTTAAACTTTCTGAAAACTTTGCTGAAACTTTCACAAATATGAGACAGTGCTAGTATAGCACAATATAAGACGAAATTGAAAAAAACTAACTGAAAAAGGCTTGCTTCATTAGATTGACACAAAGCAACACAAAACATTTTAATAAACAAAGTACTGTATTAAGAGTACTCATAATTATTAAAAGTTAATTAAAACTAAAATATATAAAAATATGCAATGGATTTAGTGTAAAGCTACAATAAACAGTCGACGATTGATTGATTTTTGGCTGTTTTACGTCCAGTGAGTAATACTTCAAGCATGCTCAGGACGAGAATAAGATAACAATAAATATAATACGTAGGTTCAGTGACAAAGGCCGTCCGCGATGAAGATCATGGAAAAATGGACTGCCACTTGAATATGAGGGAATTACCAAAAACGAACTTCCTTGTCAATTTTGAAAGTGTTATGGTCATTTTACAAACAAGAAACAGCAATCTCGGTATTCATGAGCTTTCAAAGAAAAAAAAATGCCAAGTTTAAAAGAGATCAATAAATATTAACGGGGTGCGCAAATGCAATCTTTATACATGAATGATACACAAGTCTTCTCGCGGCGACATTTAAACCCCGAGATAATCATGATCCGATTTTTCCCCTTTACCGTGTCAAAGTGCCGGGAAAGATATAAACGACATTTTGTAAATTTTTGAATTGAAATGAACACATTAAAGATGTCAAACAATGTTACTTTATCATTTTTATACTTGAATGTCTAAATGAATCTTTAAAGAAGCACGGTGAATACGAAAGTTATGAGGGAAAAAGGGGGTGAGCACTAAAGCCAATGTATATTTTGTTCTGACGTTCATTTCTAACTCTAACTCTAACTCTGTGACGACTCAAAATTAAATTATCTGACTTACTTAATAAGGGGTTTTACGACTTCAAGATTTGATGAACGGCAACAAAACTTTCGAAAACAAAATATTTCTCCTGGTAAGAAAAGAATACATTTAACCGAAGTCCCTTTTATCGAATTCTGCATTTTTCATAAGAAATTTAAATCTCCTCAGACCTGATAGTCTTTATACTGCTTTCATTAAAACATTTTTAAATAGTACACTGAAATTAGTATGGATCAGAAAACTGCAACTTGTGTAAATGGATCTTTCTGGAAACACTATCTGGTTTTAGCTAGAATTTCTCCATGTTCATTTGTAGAACATGCATCATTACAGTCTATTCAGTATAAAACATATTAAATCAATTAATTTGAAAACAGGTTCATTGGTCCATGATGAAAACCATCAAAAATCATATTACTAAATAAATAAAACCAAATAAGTACTTGTTTTTTTTTATTTTGTTATTGAAAAAAATAGGATAAGATATTTCCTAAAAGAGGTGAAAATATTTGTTTATGTAAAAAAGTGGTATGCATGTGAAAATCTTTACTTCTGGAGTTCATTATGAGTATTTTGTTTTAAATTATTAAATACATATATAATGTGTATTTCAAAAGTTTGACATACACTTTTGACAATTTTTTCTTCATTTCAAAGTAGTTTTCTCACACTTAATATGAAAAGCATTATAAATGTCACAGTTTAGTGAAATGTAACTGATAAAATCCTTATCACAATACATACAATAATTTATTTCTTTGGGTTTTCAATAATCAATAATAAATGTAGACAATTATCATCTTTTTGATTTTCATATGTTATTGTTCTACTGGAAAATTCTGTATTCCTTAGTTTTTCTTTTTCACATGTAACATGCCATGAATATTCTTATATACATGTAAGATATCCTTTATTACAAAATATACCAGTAAACACATGCAGTTACCAGCCTGTCAAATCTGATGTTAGAATCATAATCCTCACTCATTTCACTATTTTTTATGAATAGATCCAAAATTATCTCAATAACTGGCATAATATGATGCATAATGATGTGATCATTTTCTTTCATGTGTTGAACTTGCAGGAAAGAAGTGCACACTCCTTTCCTCTAGTTTATTTACAGGGATGAATAGAAATGATAGTATGATGACTATCAGATTTAAAACCACAAATGAACAATTGCTCTTTTCATTATGACCATGATAATAAATAGTAGTTCTAACATATATGTTAACATCTCAATTCCCTGACTAAGCAATTTTATTACATTCAGGCAAGCCATTGGTATGATTGCATGCACAGTGCCATGTATGCATATGTTTTTTACATTTTTTTTGTCATATGTTATCCAATGAAATAAACACCTAAGGAAATAATTTTTCGTGTGAAATTAGAGCAATCTGATTATATATGCTCAAAAGATACTTATAGGTCAAGTTCGAATCATGAAATGCACAAGAGGCAAATAGGGGAAGGGGTGCGGGCAAGGTGCTTGGACTTTTCAACAAATCCCACTTCTAACGTTGCCTTGTTGAAGCCCCCCTATTAAAAAATATTAGACCCGCATCTGTGTATAGCAGGACAGTCTTCAAAATGTCGACATAAACTTAGTCAATGATCAATGAAGATATGATTGTTTAAATGAGTAAAATAGTGTTGACTTGCATTAGGTTTGTCTTTCGATACATATATATATCAGAACTTCTGAAATCAAATAAACAACAGATACGGCTTCCTCTCATTTTTATACGTATACCCTGAATTTGACATATGCGGTCATCTCAGTACTAGAATCTATGACAAACGAGACAATATTAATTTTGAAATTATAAATTTCCCTCACCTTAGCAGCGATATACCAACTTCACCTGCATCTCATTCGGTATTCAAAAGCTTGCAGCTGCTACTCAGACTTCATAAAACGTCAACATTGTCTGAGGAGAAAGTTGACGAACCAGGGTTATGTCAAAGAACGTCTCGTCCTTTTTCTAAAAAAGTTCATCGGAAGATACCATGACATTGTTGATAAATATTCCGTATCAACTTCACAAATAATACCGTTTAAATTCTGGATACTGATATTGTTTGTCATCTTAATTACCTTTTATTTGTCTCTGTATACTTTGAACCTTTACTATTTAGTCAATTTTTGTTAATACACTTTTGGCGTGGCTTTGTACTTATACATCCCGCCATTTTGTTATTATGCTATGGTCATTTTTATATTCTTGTCTTTCATTTTTGCTTATGTACTTTGTCTATAAAGTGTCTTTATGACATTTTGTTTTTCTTTTATGAAATAGTTATTTGTTTTTATAGTGATAAAGATTAAAACGCAATGTTGACTGCTGTACCCAAATATTTGACATTTTTACCTATTATGTCCATTTGCTTTGTTCACACATTGTTATCAACATAATGGAATTATATGCGACTGTCATACAAGTGGATTTGCTAGCTATAAAACCAGGTTTAATCCATCATTTTGTACATAATGAAATTCCTGTATCTAGTCTGGAATATGGAAGTTGTTTTCCATTCGTTTGATGTGTTTTAGCTTTTGATTTTGCCATTTGGTAAAAGATTTTCCATTTAGAATTTTCTTTGGAGTTCGATATTTTTGTTATTTTCCTTTTTTCTATATAGACTGCCCTAGTCATGTTTACAGCGAAACGTACGTATAACAAAACAAATTGTAGTCCCCTTATAAAGTAAAAACAGCTTTATCTACATTCATACTCAAACGAGACGCAATCATCAATTAAATGAATATCGACGAACCTCGGCAATAAAAGGCTAAAACAATCATGTTATAACAAAGTTGCCTCAAAATATAAACGACATCCTTCTATTGACGTCTTTTGTTGGTTGACACTGACTTCTATCATAACAAGATGCCCGATCAGCTGTCCGTGACAAGCTCAAACTTGACGTCGACGAAACGTTACAGCCAATCACATGTCGTATAGTTTAGATTATTACGTCAGATTTAAATTACGATGCAATTATCGAAAATCAGTTCTTAATTTTTTTTTTGAAGTGCATTAACCTGCCTCCTAAGGTTTTACTGCCGATTATTAGACCTGAGTAACTTTTTGGGGAAAAGTATATGACCTTAGGCAATGCAATATTAAAATAAATTTGTCTCTGGACGGAGATTTTGTTTTCCAAGGGAGTCCTAGAGGCCAGAAAACACTCTTATTGTGCATTGCTAGCATTCCACAAGCTGTTCTATTTATTAAGCAGCCGAAATTCAAAATTAAATGAAAGTCCACAGCACCTAATCATGGCTATATCATCTTTCCCTATGTCGACCAGTGGTATGATTACGGGGTCCCAACTGCCCTAGGACGGCATTTAGAAAAAGTCCGTATAACTGTTCGTTGCGGAATGAAAGAGGCCATACACAAATCTGTTTGGGTTCAATTTGGCCCCGACTAGACCCTCACGGTAACCCTCGCAATAGAAATCGGTAATCGCACTGCGCAAGTGCGACTGGGAAAATGACAGAAAGTTAACCGATGGGAAAGGAACACAGGACTTACAAATTCTGAAACAAAAACTCTGAAACGCATGAAATAATAAATATGGGATTTTATATAGGAAACCAGTATAACCGATGGATCTAGTTAAAAAGTGCACTTCTTTTGCATACAAAAACTTCTAGACATGCAAGTTGCTATTATTTTCGTGTTTGTAATCGCTTTTCCAAATTGAATGGATCACTCTAATGTTAAACTTAAATTATAAATTTTAAGTTTCAAAGCATTATTACTACCTTGCACATATCAGTGACAATATTTTGCACATCATCATGAAGTTTCTGCTTGCAAAATTATATCACATCTTTCTTGTGTTTTTTATAGATATAATGTAAACCAATCACTGCTGCTTGAGCATGTTCTTCAACTTCAGAGAGAAATCATGTGTGCAAAACAGTAAGTTGACGTTATGGATATAAGGCAGGGTTATACTTTTTTTTAGACAGAAATACGATGATATAATAATCGCAGAACATCCTTTGACTGTTCCTTTAAAAGGTACAAAAGATTCTATATACGAAATTAGATGTGGCAGAAATGATAACCGTGCTTGATGAGGCTAGTACTATCTATACCATGAGTCTAACGAGTTAACACCCTTCCTCTAAAGAGTGACCGGGGAATATAATAATGGTAACTTTGACAGAAAAATCCTTGACAAAGTGGACCGTCCGTTTGGCTGTTGGGAATTTACACGTACGCAGCAACGTCCGGTCAGAATTGGGACATTACATCCGATGCAAATCGCTACATACCCTTATTTTCCAGTTACAGTCTACATTCCTGCTATCTCAATCTCCTCTCCTGACCGACTTTTCCTTGTTTTCGTTTTACTCTGCCATTCCTTTATCCCCTAAGGGAGCAACC